AAGCGCCTGTAACGGTGGATATTCGCTATAATTCCTGAACCTCATACACTGCTCTTTCTGATAAACCATTACTAGATAACTCCATGTATAACGCCATGTATAAAATTCAGACGACGAAACGAAGGTTAAATGATGATTATTATCGCACGACAGTGATTACAAAACCACAGGCATACAAAGTGGAAACGAAAACGATATGCGAATGCCAAGGAGCGAATGCATAGGACTCAGATGTAAACAATACCCATATAGTGGAAAACTAATGAGTCACCGACTAAACGACTAACATTAAAGCCAGGTGAATAAATATGTACTCATACATGTCCATTCAAACGTGACAGTAAATGTACAAAGTACAGACAGGTTGTAATTGTTGTTGTTCGAATGATGCTATCTGTGAAATAAGTCAACGAAAGGGCCTAACCAAATTAGATATAAAAAAACTCAAATGTATATCAGTTACTATAATAGATCCCTACTGCAAACAAAGATACAAAACAGTGCGTGCGAAAAATATGTTAAATTTGACAGAACGGAAAATATCGAGTTTCAAAAAATTAAGATATAAGAAAACTGTCGCTTAAGCTACTACATAGTCGTGTAAGCTTGAGTTCTTATACGTCCGTGAGGCCAGATAAGATAATAAAAGAAAATCAACGGAAATATAATACTGTTTTTTTTTAGTTATACACATTGACATCGAAATATACAAAATATATCGAATACACTTAAAGATAAATTTTACTATATGTACATACAAAATGAAGAGGAAAAAATTCATTTTCGAAACTGTAAAAGAAATTATTAATTCAAAATCATAGCTACATATCGTTGCGACCATCTGACTCTCAGACCATTTCTTGTCATTACTGGTCTTTCTTCGTTGCTATCATTGATGATTGGAACTCGCGTATCTGTGATTTGATGGTTTTCAAAGGATCTGCACTTACTGGCTGACCGCCAGCTTCGATGAAAGCTGGTTTGACTCGGTCAATGCCAAAGACATCCGTTTATCCAGCTTTATCTGCTGTAATAGTTTCATCATTTCTTCTAAACACTTTGAATAGGCCATCTTAGGTTGGTTGTAAGGGACGCTGTACATTATTCCTGCTGATAAATGCATAAGTACTATTATTTACTTGCACTGGTATATATACCCGATTTTGATATTGCCTGGAAAGCGTTATTCCTAATTAATACATGTTTTAGAATTAACACATAGTTGGCTATTACAGTTGTGGCCCCATGGACTCTGATTCAATGTGTAGCAGAACCTCACAGTGTTGCAATGTGGATATGGGAAAAATTATAAAGAGAAAAAAGCAGATGTGACTGCAGTTGAGTAGTACCACGACAGACGATAAAATCGATAAATACGAAAACAAATTAATATTTTATACCAGTCTGACGAAGGTGACTCAGAACTACAGACTAAAAAATGATCGCGAAATAGATTGAAAGACAAAAGGCGACCAGGATCTATGCGACACTTTGCTACTGAGATATTCTGGCATCATCATATGGCAACAGAGCAGATCAGCGTGCAGACTAAAGTTACTACAACAGAGAAATGGTTCCGCCGGTTGTCGGTAATGACAGCAACAGCTAGCGTAGCTCCCAAAAGCAGTCATTTATTTTGAGTCCAAGACCGAATGATGGGAATAGCTCGAGTCAACTTAAGGCGGTTCTGTCACGTTCCATAGGGAATCAGCCGTACGGAAGCTGGACCACGTAACGAGCGACCCTATATGGTTCCATTCCATACATTGGTGTAGTGTGTTAACTGGCCTCGAGACATCCTTACACGGGTCTCCAGTTAAGTTTACGGGGTCTTATTATTTTGCAGTGATCTATTATATTTGATTTTTAGCCACCTTCATAAAACTTATTGGGTTCATTTGGTGAGCAGGCCCAATTCGGCATGAATAGCCGTTGAACACATAAGAAAGTGTCTCCTCTTGCTGGAGCCGATAAGATGTCTGACGATCTCACAGGAGAATCTAAAACGATATGTAAGATTTTCATGGCTAAGTTGGATTCAAAATAAGGCTCATCACCTAACTGATCCGTGACCTGACTCCGATATTTATGGACAATTACATTGACTATGAAATAAATCGCCCCTTCACTTACTGTATATCATACTTAAGAGAACCCCTTTTGTGCAACGCTGGTTAGAAGGAGCCGAATACCGATTCAGTTGGATGAATTTATTTCAAGCGATCGATCACACAGACGCATATGAGAATGAAAAGTGTACAAGTGAAAAGAAGCAAAGTGGAGAGGGAGAGTAAGCCAAATCAATGCGATAAGGCATGACTAAGTATTTGTAGTCAAGCTAGACATGAAATGAGCAAAGTAGGCGTGCGCATACACACTTAAACAGAAACAACTTAGATATGAGCGAATAATTGACGAGGTCAAAAGAAATGTGATTAATGATTCGAGAAGAGTGGAATAGTGGCTCTGTTTAAAGGCTTGGACAAGCTCAATGGGCTCGACATATTTGTACACACACAAGTCTTTTGCGTTGAGCGATTATTTGTTTTGGTATCTGAACCATAATATCTACTCACCTGATTTTAACTTATGATACTTGGGTTAAATTTACTTTTTATATTTATGGTGATGCATGATAGTGTAGCCTATGCCTAGTTTATAAAACGAAAGATTTTACTGTATTGTTGTTGAAAAATATGTGAGAAGTGTTGATCGCATATAACAGAGCTACTTGAACTAATGTTCCTTTTACATGGATTGACTACTGGGGTTAGTGACCGAATTTCCGGTAAGTACGCCTGTTTTCATTGACCGAATTCCATTGAAGGATGTGGTTTAAGTATTTGAGCATACCATACACCGTTTCGACGATGCCGGCCTGAATGAGGTATCGTTTGAACTACGTTTAGCCATAGCTTACATTCATTGACAATTTAGAAATCCTTAGGGAAATGAGCATCTTCAAAGAATCGCCAAGCATTACCATCAGAGACATTAATATTAGAATATTTAGGCAGCGGCTGCTCTATTTTAAAAAGAAGATTTCTACACCGATTAATTAGTAACTGGTTTCTAGTTCAAATACTGGTCATTCGCAACACAAATTGTTAGGTGGTAGTGTTTGCAACTTTAAGGCTGGGTGAACTTGTTCAGTCTTGTGGGAATTAACTGTTTACCGAATATGTCAGATACGCCTTAATGATAGAAATAAACATTCAAACCAATTAGTTCTTACCACTTGACACGGCTGAACTCTAAGGATTTCCTCACAAATCTAGTCACTAGTGAGCACATGATAATTATCATTATAGGGTTTTGGAGGTTGTGAGGTTGTTACCAGATGAAGACAATCGATGAGGTTGCTCAATATCGTGGACCGATTGAAGTTAGACATTAAGACCGTTTGGTGCTGGCTCAGTGGTCTAGAGGTTAAGCGTTCGCGCGTGAGACCAATGCTCCTAGTTTCGATTCCCACATCGGGGTGTACACGATGCGCACTGCTGATAAGTCCCATACTAGGGAGAAATGGATTATTTAATTTGTCCAAAGGCTGGGACAAGTCCTGTGAGCTCTACATAAAAGTACACGCATTACACATCCCTTCGGGTGAGAGGAATCGCAAGCAATCGAAAAACTATGAGACCTATCTTTCATACAAAAACTACTCACGTGCACGCGCAGTTAGGTTGTTAGTTAACCAAGCATATGTTATATAATAAGTTCAGCAACAGATGATAATACTTACCACCATTCGATCAAGGACATTCGATGAAAAATCTCACTTGGTCACTAAAAATTGAAACACTACATCTTTTACTGAGGTAATGTTATACAAATTTCTTTCTATCAAAAACTGATATTGGTGTCATAAGACCATCTAAAAACAAAGATTATTTAGCAATCTTTTCGTGCTTGTAAAGAACTGGCAACAATGTATATCTTAAACATAGAGGTTTCGCTTGAAACACGAAAACATCTATCCACTTTGTCAGAACTGAAAAGTGATCAGTTTGCATTACATTAGGTAGATTATCAGCCATCACTGATAAGTAACTACCTCACTCCTGACTCGCGTGACTACAAAGGTCATGGGATTTCACAAGAAATTGGGATCATTTAACAAACCGACTGAAGACTGAAACGTCAACCATGAAATTTGCGTAAAATGGTTCAAAAGTACCATAGTGTCTTCTAGACAACTTTAGAATTAATGAACACAGTAGCCTTGTTTGTTTCTTTATTAACCTAGGAGTCAGTTAGTTAACCTCCATATAGCTAATAATTTATAGATACTACCAATTATTTTAGCCGAAAAAGAACATTTTCTAGGTCACAAAAGTAGGTTTTTGTCAAATATTTATGAGTAAGCACTAAAGCATCTCGTAATAAAATATTCATCTCTTATATAACCAGAAACTCGTTATAAATTGAGTAATTGAGTAATTATACTATGATTTAAAAACTGATATTTTATTTTATTATGAAAAGTGATGTATTATTTAAAGGAGTTCATAATATCCATTAACTTGAAACAGACTGTAAGCATTATCTCTCTTGTGATTAAAATGAAACTAGAATTCTTTAATACATGTTTTATGGTTCGATTAAGAAAATATTTAACATTCTACAATTTAAAGGATTTCGTGAATGAATTCTCAGTGATTTTCGATAATAACCACAAAGACAAAAAAAGAAAGCTTTAACCCCAATACTTAACCAATCTATTCCAAGATGTAAACAAGATTCGATAATGCAGGCGTTTAACAAATAACCACAATAACAGATATATTCAAGCATAAATATGTTCTGTGTTTATGAGAATTTCTATTAATGAAAAGTAATATTAACAATGGTATACTGGTTCAAAAGCATATGTTCAAATGAATCAAAAATCATTAAACAATTTTATTCAATGAATGAACAATGAATTCTAAACTATTGTGATTACCATGAGTTTAACCTCTTTAAAACAATTCTGTGTTTCTTTTTTTCAAAAATAGGTCTAAGTCATCGTTGTTATGTGTGTAGTAAGTGTCGAGACCCATTTGAACGTCAGGGTACGGAAATACAGTCTGGTTGTACCTTCTGTTCAGTAAGTGATGAAAAGTGTACTTTTTATGTAAACATGTATCATAAGTTAAAATCAAGTGAGTAGATATTATGGTTCAGATACCAAAAGAAATAATCGCTCAACGCAAAAGACTCGTGTGTGTACAAATATGTCGAGCCCATTGAGCTTGTCCAAGCCTTTGGACAGAGCAACTATTCCACTATTCTCGAATCATTAATCACATTTCTTTTGACCTCGTCAATTATTCGCTCATATCTAAGTTGTTTCTGTTTAAGAGTGTGCATGCGCACGCCTACTTTGCTCATTTCATGTCTAGCTTGACTACAAATACTTAGTCATGCCTTATCGCATTGATTTGGCTTACTCTCCCTCTCCACTTTGCTTCGTTTCGCTTGTACACTTTTCATTCTCTTATGTGTCTGTGTGATCGATCGCTTGAAATAAATTCATCCAACTGAATCGGTATTCGGCTCCTTCTAACCAGCGTTGCACAAAAGGGGTTCTCTTAAGTATGATATACAGTAAGTGAAGGGGCGATTTATTTCATAGTCAATGTAATTGTCCATAAATATCGGAGTCAGATCGCGGCTCACTAAAGACTGTATTTGCTCCTCACTAGGAAAATGGATGAATAATCACAATGGCATGTTGAAAATTATCAGCCTAGCAATTATGAAGAATTTAATAGGTAATACAAAAGCAAGTTATTGTTCGATCAATTAAAAACGTTCACGGTTTTTAAACAACCTGATCTCTGCCTTCAGTGAATATCTAAACTGTGAATCTCTATGTTCAATCCGGCATCTTATGTGAATCTAATTGACAGAAATCATCCCAAATATGATTGAGCTCACTTTTTTCGTCGCAAATTATAAAATTATCATAGATATACCCCTTGCACTTTTGTTCCAAATACGTTACTCGATGTGGGTTTAAACTATGGAGCTTCAAAAGTTCGAAAGCGATTTGTTTTATAAGCATTCCTGCATTTGTATTCTTATTTATTACCTCCCATTCACTTCCTTACATGCAGATGAATTTGACCACAATATGAAAAGTTATCATGTATTTTACTTAATAAATAATCGCAGACTTTAATTAATCCCTTTGATAATTTTTCAGTTCTCAAGAAATTCGGATAATAAACAGTTGTCTCAAAATTTTGTATGATTTCGCCTTATCCATTGACTGATTTCACGCTTAAATTTATGACAAGTATTTGTATTCATTGGTTAATATTTTTATTTTTTACTAATAGACAATAAGAACATATATTCAAGACAGACTACAAGTAACTAGTCGTAGTTGTGTTCCAGTTTGCGTTGAAGCTGATGCTAGAAGATCCGGGTCAGGAATTGTCACGTCATGCTGTGAAGACGATTTATGCAATTCTAGTGGACAAATAAAAATATCCATGACTTTAATCCTGTCTTCAATACTTTTTGTACTACCATTGTTATCAACCTATTTTTAAATAAAAATAAAACTGGTATTTTTCTCCCTGTTACTATTAGCACGAAAAGTTCGATTATCCGTATATCTCACTTTTAAATAATTCTAGAATTTATACTCCATTTATTAAAACTTCATTATGTTTTGTCCACATTATCAGTCATTCTTTCATAATAAAATATCTATCATTAAGAGGTAATTTTTCTTATTATAATCTAGTAGTAATTACCCATATTCATTGCTATTAAATTGTCCTAGGTCGACGATAAATTTAATGTTGACAGCGTATCCAAACTGTGAGTAACGAGTTTATTAATTTTAATATCCTGCCTCCATCTAAAGCTTACTTCATTTTATTTATAAACTAGTCAGTAAATGATCAGTGATTATCAATAATAGGAAGAATAATGATCATTCGTGAAGTACCACTTAGTCTATGGGCCTGGGTAAAAAAACTAACCAAACTAGTTGGTAGCATCGGTTAGCCCTAAAAAAAGTGGATATTGTTTTAACTCGCCAATAGTCATGAAATTATATGCACTTTACTAACAAATTGTATAATACTTATTGGATTTTATTAATAGTATGAATAATCCGTTGTAGCGGCTCACTACTGGACTTCAGTGTGGACGATTGATGAAATAAACCCTTCTTTCCACTTCCGTATATTACACTTAGGCTCACCCCGTTTGTGAGACGTTTGTAATAAAAAAGCTAAATACGGTTTCTCAGATGAATTTATTTCATGCAATCATTTATTCAGACAAACGTGTGAAGGAAAGCGTACAAGCAAAACGAAGCGTATTGGAGAAGGCTAGTGAGCCAACTCAAAAATATAAAGCATGACTAAGAACTTATAGTCAGACAAAAGTCAGACAGACATGTAACAAGCCAGATAGGCATGAATATTCGCGTATGCTGCAAGCAGTGTTCAGTCGTACCAGCTCATACAAACCAGACAATAATAAAAGGCAATGGTACATATAAGTTGTTGCTATAATAATGGCTTGGTTAAATATAGTATTTCAACTCGTTTTTTAAACTTTTAACAGGGTTTTTTAAAATAACCAAAAAATTTTTTAAAATTTTCACAGCGTTTTTTAAAATTGTTTTGAAAAAATAAAATAAGAACTACTTTTAATTAAAATCTTCTTTAGCAATCGCTTTTAAACAATTTCGACGTACGTGTCTCGAATAACCTTGTAAATCATCCCTGGTTAATTGATTTACAGAATTTAGTATTAGATTTATAAAAGATTCGTTGGATCCGCTCGCCAGAGATCTTCTTACATTTGATTTAATTTTCGAAAACGCGAATTCGATTGGGTTAAGCATGTAACTATAGGGAGACAAAAACATAACGTTTACTCCCTTTTCATCAAAAAAGTTTTTTGTGATAATTGAGTGATGAATCCTCGCATTATCAAGTATAAAAATACAATTCTTAAAAATTGATTTTTGATTGCATTTTTCAATTAGTTGATCAAAAAACTGAATGAACTTATCTGAATTCACCGAATCAACAGATGTTTTAGCAAAGAGAACTTCATTTTCTGTTATAGCCGATATTAAACTTATATTGGTTCCACGCGTTGATGGAACTAGGGCACTTGCCGGTTTTCCTCTTGTAGATCTTCCCAAGGTTCTTCTTAAGTACAAATTGAAAGAAGATTCATCTATAAAAACTTTTATAAATGTATCTTCAATGTTCATAAAATTTTGAGCATAAATTTGGCGTTTGTTTTTACTGGATTCCGAATTTATATTGACCGATGTATAAGAAATCTTTTTCAAAGTAATCTGAAGTCTATAAATTATCCTTCTTATAGATTCAAGAGAAAGGCCTATAGAAAATATGTTTTCTATTTTTTCTCGAATTTCTACCATCGTTATTAACGGGTTTAATTCTATCAATTCTTCAACAAAATTGATAATATCACCGCATATCTTCTTATTTGATAGTTTTCCTGTTTTTTTCTTCTCAACTTGCGATTCCTTTTTATACAACCTTAAAATATTTGTAGCGGCCTGATAGTTTACATCTGTAAGAAATGCCGCATTCTTGACGCTGTATCCATCTTCAATAACTTTTTTTACAAGGCTTTTTCTTTTTTCATTCGAAATCAAGTTGTCATCAATTTTGTTGAAGAATTGATAGAATTAAACCCGTTAATAACGATGGTAGAAATATTTTTATCACCTTATTAACTATATGAAGAACTTCGCAACATCATGACACATATATCTATCTCTAATCACCTTCGTATTTATATGTATGTCAATTTTCATGATAATTTTGATTTAAAAACATTATAGGTAATAAGCAGCTGATGAGAACCTGACGAAATAAAATCAATCTGATGATTTGTTTATTTACTTATAATTTATATAACCCAATATTACGAACTGTTCTCAATGATAGTCATTCAGTATAAATACAATAAATATTATACATATCTTGCTTATTACACCAATAATCTCTTGTAGACATAATCTTATGACCTTTGAAAATGACATTGTCGAAAGTATTATGAATGGATTGATGAGTTTTATTGTGCGCCGCATAAAAATGAATATGAATTTCACTAACCAACGATCTGACTTCATATGATCAAGTAATATTTATAACAAAAATTGCCAATGTCTACTTCGTCCATTATAACATGTAAGTTAAATACCAACAAACATTAAATTTCGCGTAAAATAGATGTTTCGTCTTGATTCTAATTATTTGCTCAAGGCTGTCAGGACATTGTACTGAAATTATACAAGAATAAAATCGTACAAACAACTAAGTTAGCGATATCATCCTGTTTACGGCGATAGTTATGTCACAGGATTAAAACACCCTTAGTAATGAAACATAGCTCGACTGCAAAGTTATTGCATACAATTTAGTGTCACCATTCAACTAGAACACCGTTGTTACAACAAGCGCCAAATAGTTGGAAGCAGAATCTAAAATATGAAGTGTAATGGAGAAATATACTTCAAACAAAAAATCAGTAATTCATGTTCAAAAGTAGCGTGATTTGAGACTTCTAAGCCAGCTAGCTGGAGAAATGAAGCCATATCACAGTAGGTAGTCACATGATGATGCATGATGAGGCGTTTCTTGTTTAGTAAAACTAAAATATTCAATAATAATTTCAAATGATAATTATTTAATTCATTATTATTTATCGTCTAAACATACAATAACTGGAAAGACTTACACTAACCTTTGAACACTAGGAGATCAATAAAGATGGATGCCGAAGCACTTAATCCAGATGCCATGGTTCATCTATGCCGTTGTGGTCAATCTATGTATCCTACTGGTCTCGTAAGCCTAAATGCGTTTTCTCAGGACGCGTCACCATAGGCAACCACGTAACTTCTACGTCACATCTTACAGAGATGGGTCTCCTGACTATGTAAAGACGTAGATAGTAATGAGGCTATTCAGCTCTTTCACAGATGTGAAAAATGATTCGCAAGTTAACTGAATACAGATGTTAAGGTTATTTTACTAAAATTCTTTGAGTAATTCCATCCCTTAAAGCTAACAAGATCAAAAACATTTATGAATATCCAGGCGACTACTTTTCCATTAAAATCCTTCACTGTGCAAACTGGTTAATCACCGACTACCTTGACAAAATGAGGTATTTTGCATCAGGAATATTTAGAAGTACTTAGAAAGCTTCTTGTAAGCCATAACGCCTAATGACCTATTTTTATACTAATGACAGTAAAGGGTTTACACAATAAGATGATGCATTTCCAAAATCGATTTCTTCAAATCATACGTATTTTTGACCTCCAGATTATCACCAATAAGTCTAAAGAGATGCTCATATTCATGAATAAACAACCATAATCGATAATAATGATTATAGTCCTTTATTTTAAAGCGCACCAAGGGTTCATGTAAATTAAAACTAGATACGGCTTACATCTTATCGTAATTTCTGGAGGCGTTAAATATAGAATTATTTTGTCAACAACTTCTGTTGTCTTTCACATGTTTTGTAATTCTACCTCATTTGCTCAATCACTGTTACTGACTGTAAAATAGGTGCATAAATATACCTGTGATCTACAGTTCCCAAGCAACCAAAAAATGGGATACAAAAGGGGACATTCGTCGGGAATAAAGGGGAACACTCACCAAGAAACTATATTTTCCACTGCCATAGGGAATTAGTGCGATATTTTCCCTTTTCGTCGCCGTTTTTAACTGTCGCTGAACTTATGACTTTTTACCTAAATTTACCCGATTCACAACTTTGCACAAAAATGCACGCCGAATTTCCCACCCTTACCTTAAATTTGTGCTGAATTTCGGACTTAACCTAAATTCACGATGACTTTCCAACCTTTCCCCCAAATTTACTTGTTACCTAACTGAATGGACTAATCTATATTCATATGTTCTAAGCAATGAAGTAACTTATGTTCGCCTCTATTTTCATCACAGAACGAACGTTCTGATACAGTACACTTCAGTTAAAAACTTCATTTTTAAAGAGATTTATTACCAAAGAACGAAATCATATCGTACAAGTACTGTAATAGTAGATAAACTTTCGTCTCACATCTCTTTTATCAGTGCGAATTCTGACCGTCAGTTATGAAGATATGAAAAAAGTGACAGATAATGCGTTAGGTATTGATAATATATCCAGATTGTTAACTGAATATGCGATGAAACACGAAACTGTTATGCCCGATGACCACTTGTGAGAATCTTAATAGGTTTATGGACCACTTTGTCAGAATTTTATTACTGGTGAATTTTGAATTGTAGCAACTTATCATTTACTTTCATGCAAATGCCTAAGTTCGTGGGAACCAGTTGGAAATAGAAAGTTGTCTCAAATTAGCAGATGAGACAACAGTTTCAGGTTTTTAAATAACTGACAATTCTCGCTCTTAGATAATAAATGTCTTTAGTTGGTGTATTAATGTGCTTTACAATCTTTTTTGTAGGTTCGATATGACGATAATTCATTTTCTCCAGTCAAATGCAAAGTTGTCAATTTTTTGAGCCCTTTTAAAATCAATCATTTTGCCTCTGATTTTAACTTCATAGTATTTTCCTTGCTATTGTATAGTTCTTCGTTGTCTATATCAAGTTTGTTTCAGTCAGTCACTGTGATTCTGTGGCTACCACATATGACTGTTTGGCTGTTCACTTGAGACTGATTAACCTAA